AAATCATTACATACAATTAATAGACAATTCTAGGCGTGGACGGTGTTATCCTCTATTTCAAAAGATATTTTATCATTTATTAATTATATTATAACTATTAATTTATTTTTATATTGGTAATATACAAGGTTGAACTAATGTTTTCCAGTAAAAAGTATATAGATACTCATTATTATATTATATGAATAATATGATACATAATTGATTAACTTATAACTTATAAGTATATACCATGGTTATCTAGTTATCGAGTAGATAACCGTGGTATATACCAACACCACGTATCGTACAACAGAAAATAAATACATATCAAATTACAATATTTTCTTTTTAAATGTTGATAAAGTTTTCAACCAGAGCTATAACATGGTGGCGTGGTGAGTAAAAAGAGGAACTTCGGACATCACGTATATATTTTATTCTATATAAATATAATATATCCTACCTACCTATAGTACCTATAAAGTATAAACTATAAATAGTTTAAACTTGCATACCTAATGTACTTACGTTAATGAGTATAATGTATATCGGGAAAATATATGTTGCATTACACAATTATTACGATCACGGTTTCTCGGTGTAACTATGATAGCAATTGAATCCACTCAGCACTAGTATAGTGTTATACACCTCGACGTCATCCAGTTACCAGTACTTAAAAATAGGCGAACGTAGAGAACTTCAAAACAAATGCAATCCATCGAAATTATTGAAGATACTACAAATCATTAACCGGAAACATTTTCAGTAAAACAGTCGGAAGACAGAAATTATGTTTTTTGTAATAAGCAAAGCGGTTGACCTCCGCGGGCTGTTATCATGCAATATGAAAAAAAGCGTGATATTGATAGAAACCCTAAAAAATTGGAGAAACGATAGAATTAAATCAATATTGAGACTTATTGTTTACATAATCATAATTCATATGCCAATCAGACATTTTAGGATTCGAAGGAAGTGGCGTTTCGAAAAAATTCGAAACGTATTATGTCGTCGTGCTCGAACGACGGATGAAAAGGGTTTGACGTATGCACGCACCCCCTCCGCCGCTGCTCCGTCAGAAAAAAGGTCGTAAATTATCGATAAATTAATAACGACGACGACGACGACGTGGCCGGGGCGGGGGCGGCGTACGACAACATCTCGCACGCACAAAGGTCGCGCGTCGCAGATAGGCCTCTTTTTAATTTATAACCGCGTAATAATTTTTTTATTATTTCGTTTTCCGTCGCAAAAGCCACCGCCGCCGTCCCACCGGCACAAAGGGCGGCGGCCACGCGCTCATAAACCGTTTAACAGGACCCCGGCGGAGTCAATGACTCGGAATCAAGTGCGCCTCCACCGCTGGCAATAAATAATCTCTTGGCGTCCGCCTTTGCCCGCTCCCTCGCGCCGCATCAAAAAATCTTCACTCTCCCGCCGCAGAGACACACTCTTCGCCGGCTCGGGAGGATAACGAGGTAAACAAACAACGTTTGCCGGAACTGGCAACAGTGAATATGTTTCCTTCGGCATTACGCACGGACGCGGGGCCGTTGATTTTGAAAAGGTCACTAACGAGGTTATATTATCCTCGTCGTACCATTATTTATCGTCGCACAGTCGAGTACAATAATAACCCAATATAATATATATGATACGGATAATGTTGTATTATTTATATCAGTCGTACGTAATAACTAATAATAATATAATAATACAATGATTGTATATTAATTCAAGTGCGTACTTTATATATATGACGTAAGTATAATAGGTGTTTTATTTTTTTTTATTGATCTTGAGTCCGTCAGCTTAGGCCATTAGCTATTTATTTTTATTTTTTGTTGGTAGGTTTTTGTTGGTAGGGGGGGGGGACACTTGTGTGTTTGTTTTGGCAGAATTTTTGATTTGGGCACCCGTAGGTATCTGCCATGCCCGGGTTGGGGATGGCGGCACTTGTTCTCCGGACACCGTGACTTGCCCGAATAAAAATGCCACCCATGGCCGAGGTATCGAACCAGTGTCGGCTGCATCGAAGCCGACGCCTTAGTCCGCTCGGCCACTCCGTCCCCCGTAATAGGTATTATATAATATTATATTACATTATATATAGGTGACCGTTAACGGCAGTTTTACTGTATATTATAACATGTTTGTATTTGGGTATTTCGTACATCAAAACCCGATAAGTGTTATTCGTTGAATTGTGATATTTTGACTCAGATATTTAGAATACATTATAAAATATTCACGTATTCACGCAATCAGCACTTATTTATTAATTATTGCTTTTTTTTTTTAATAAAGTTTTTAATAATATTATTTAGATTTCCCGTCGTAAATCCGGCAGTGAGTCATATTGTAAACGGCACTAATAAAAACACATTCCCCTTACCTAAACTCTTCTCGTTTACACTCAGAGGGTGAACGTGTTATTAAATTGCTTGTCTTATTTATATTTTGGCAGAAATAAAAACCCATCGCCGACGACCGCCGTTTTTAAGCCCGTGCCGCACACACGGGCCATTATAATATGACGGAATATAGTAGCCACATTTATATAATATAATAATAATAATAATAACAGTAATCCGTTGTCAGCAAATGATTCATTTGGGTTCGATAGGGATTACTAATATGGGGAGGGCGGCCGACCAAGAGTTGACTTTCGCCAATATCACGACACCACTATCCGCGGTACATTAATCGTCACGTTACCAGGTCGAAACGTAGTTATTAAACGAGTCTTGAAGCATAATTATTATTATATCGTCTGCGAATATATGAAAATGAGAAAAACTGTAACATTAAACCATTATATGATTACAAATAATCACATCAGACAGTAGCAGGTCACATATCTATGACGAATATTTTGCTACATTTATTTATTTGAAATCATTTGGAGTGGTGGCAGAGGAGCTAAAATTAATTGATTTTTGAGACCGACCCCCCTCCGAACAGGTCTAAGAATCTAGCTATCTAAGCTAAAATGGGTGAATTAAAACCGTCAGTAGTTCCTAGACTATTTTTATTTTTTAAATATAACATACTTATCTTGGTTACCGACCAATACCCAATGTCATAATTTATATTATATCAAATAATAAAATTTTGAATTGTGTTTATAATACAATTATTGTAAATTTGTGAATAAAATTATACAAGGGAAACCTGGGTATGACGTAAAATGAGACAATCCTATTTTGTCCACAATTATATTTTGTAATACAATTACTTTTCTGGTAGGTATTTTTAATCTTAAGTTTCCTTCATTAAATATTCTTTCAACCCTATTTTAAACACGTTCAACAAAAAGTGTAATGGATTAATAAAATTAACTTAAAAATTGTAAATTGTATCTAATTATTTATCTCTCTGTTTATGTCCATAGTGCTATTATAAATATTATGATAAGTGATAACGCCATAAAGAGAAACTTACACTTATTACCAAATTCTATACTATCAATCTAGACAGTAAAATAGGTTTGTGTAACACTCGCTGTTCGCTACCAAATATTTGAGCCTCGTCAATATTTTACAGGATCACCGACCATGGTGATCAAATTAACTATATGGGATGTCCAAATTACAAATCTCTCTCAAGCACCCTAAGATCAATCAGCATAGCCACCATAGTATTCTGAATGTATAACACACGAAACCGCTTTTCAACTTTCCCGCTCACCAAGTTCAAAGCATCTTATACCTCCATTGCTGACTATAATAATATCTTATAATCTAATCGTTCCATAATAAGGAAATCATTATCCAAAATTCTTTAGAACTTACTGCATTAATTAATCCCCTGCTTTCCCTTCTAACAACATAACTACTTCATATTATTATAAACTATATTATTTCTACCTACCTAATGAAATATTTAAATATAATAATAGTAAAAGTTATATCATTACTCACAGAATACGTAATCAGCTATTTACGTATACATTATTAATTAGCCGTCATCTTATATTTATACGAATTGCAAATTTTGGTATCATTCCATCGTTATTGTTAATTGATAAATTCAATACCTACTTATGTACCTAAAATTGTTGACTAAGTCTACAAAAATAACAAAAAAAAAACATATTGTTATAATAACGTATTTTATATAAATAAGAACAATAAGTGTTAGTTTTATATAGTGTATAACACTAAAGTATCTCAAGTATTGCTATCTATTGTATAGTCAATACATCAATATTACTGTATTTATTTAAACGGAGGATATTCATCACATCAATTCAGTTGTCAATTGCACAAGGTTCTTATAATTTGAATACTCATTAAATACAAATTTAATTAAAAACTATTTTTTATAATTCAATTGTAATTCAATTAAATATTTTTATCTATACTTATAATATTCATTAGATTTAGTAAGTATTTTAGTATTAACCTATATTTATCGACAAAAATAGTATTTACCAAAAGTTTTTACTATGACTTGGAGGTATAGTGATTTATCGTAATATTTACTATTGTTATATTTTAGACTCAAAATAGATTTTGTTTTTTTGGTGTCACTAAATAAAAGAATGACCGTACATTACATTTTCTCCGAGTTATCTACACACCGTACCATCCTCATTATTATATATCTTGACTCTTTTTGAGCTATTTTTAATTTAAAGTTTTTTTATGTAATATATTAAATCGGTAAAAACTTTTTCGCTGAGTCATATAGCTTTAAAATTGAATACAATGTTTCTCAAAAGTTGTTATAATAGTAGTTCAAAAATATTAAAGATACATGTCATGAACGAATTTTTTTATTGGTACATTTTAACGAAATAACGAACATTCGCAAAATTATTTTAAAATTAAAAATGCATATAAAATGTTCAATTTTTACAAATAATGCTTTAATATTTAAATAAATAAAAGCAGAATAATACACTTATATTTCTATAAAAGTTATTTATTTTACTATTAGTTATACGGTAGAAATTATTGGGTAGTCCATAATAAAATTATTCTTATTGTTTCCTGTTATTTTAGAACAACATGAAGACATTTTCTGTATGCTGTCTTTTGATGATTGCATATTATACATGTGCAACAGTAAATGCCGATGTATATTTCAGAGATCCCAAACCAAATAATGAGTGGTGGTCTAGCACCATATTGTATCAAGTATATCCGAGATCGTTCAAAGATAGTAATAACGATGGAATTGGTGATTTAAAAGGTATTTAAAATCAAAATGCAATTAAATTTAGAAAACCGACTGGAGTAAACGCTTTTGCTCGAAAATTAGATCGAAAGTAGGTATGGCTTTTAAACATGATGTATTTAACTTGAACATTGTGTTTTTGTGTAAATACTCACAATCCCCGATTTTTTTTATAAGTTTTTCCATTTATTAAGAAAAGTTTTAAGGTTTCTGTTTTTTTTTTTTTTTTTTTTGGAGCCCCATACTAAATGTTAAGAGCAAGTAGAAACTTTTGTTAATGTTGAAGATTTGAACAAAATATACTCTTCATTTAAACTTGCATAAAAAATAAACACCATTGTAAAATATACAATATATTCTCTGATCCGGGAAGAATTTAATACATTAAATTATTTATTTTGGGTTTATTGCGTAACGTTTTCAGGTATTACCCAGAAACTTGACCATTTTGTTGATCTTGGCATAGAAACATTATGGGTCGGTCCATTTTTCAAATCACCTATGTATGATATCGATATGGGATATGATGTTGAAGATTTTTATATGATAGATCCTATCTTTGGCACAATGGATGATTTAGAAGAATTAGTTTTTGAAATGAACAAGCGAAGTAAATGTCATACTTTGTTAGAAAGAATAACATTTAAATAGATTTTCATGTTGGTTTTATTAATTTTTCTTTTAGATCTTAAACTGATAATAGACCTTATACCAAACCATTCAAGTTCCAAGTGCGAGTGGTTTGAAAAATCAATCAAACAAGAAGGAAAGTACAAAGATTATTACGTGTGGCGTAACGCTTCGAATCAAGACGAAGTCCTAAGTAACTCCTCAATTACACCAATACCACCAAATAATTGGGTAAATAACATAATATCTAAAGTTTTATTATAAACATAATATTATTTTAAATGGTTACAAATATGTTATATTGATACTTTACGAGTTGCTTGAATATATTTATGATAAATACATAAGTCTATATAAAAAAAAAAAAAAAATGCTTGAAGTAACTTACTGGATTTTTTTATAATAACTAATAAATAATAATTAAGTGTACTCGTATTCATCAAAATATTATATCATATAATATAATATATTTATTTGATTACAGTTGAGTCTATTTGGTGGTCCTAGTTGGACATGGAATAAACAACGAAAACAATTTTATTACCATGAGTTTAGAAAGCAACAACCAGACTTTGACATGAGAAATCCGGAAGTTAAGCAACAAATTTTAGTAAGTTGCTATATAAAAACTTGGGGGAAATGATGAAAAACGTTTCTGAGGGGTGACGATCCGTCGGCCAATGGAATTTTTTAAATTTATCAATTTAATTTTTAGTAGAAAATATTTTAGATTCTGAGTGAAACGATGAATGTATTGATTTTACAATGATGTGTGTTTTTATATTTATTTTTTTATTTTTTTATTTTTTTTGTGTCTGTGTACACGATAAGTAGTCGAAATAATGCTTCGATTTTCGACTTCAGTATCTTGTTCGATTGGAAAGTGAATATCGTTGGTGCATTGGGGAGGTCAAAATTTAAATTTCCCAGTAGTTTTCAAGAGCGCCGGGAAAAACAACATAAAAATTAAGGAAAAACGGGAATTTTTACGCAAAATTGGTTTTCCAAAAAATCGATTTTGGTTTTTGGTGTAACTTTAAAACAAATAACCGTAGATACATGAAATTTTCAGTGGTTGTTTATATTTGCATTTTCTATACACGATAACATTTTCAAAATATTTTGATTTATTTTGAACTGTTTTGGGACATTTTCAGTTTCCAATTTTATTAGTTTTTTTTTTATGAATATCAATAAAAATTTATTTGTTGAGTAAAAATACTTGAAAATTTAATACAAGGCTCCTACTATATTGTTTCAAAGAAAGATGAAAAATATTAAAAATCGTTAGTCACAGTTTTTTTTTTTTAAGCATTTAAAGTTCAAAAAATGACAAAATATGGAAAAATCACGAAAATTTGCAAATTATTTCGAGTTAGAAATTCATAAAAATTTTTCTTTTTAAATCTAAGATATGAAAATGTAATACAAGATTCCTTATAAGATTTCCTACATTTATCAAAAAAAAAATTCTATGAGAAAGTCAAATTCAATTTTTATGAGCGTTTGAAATTCAAATTTTTACAACATTGGATATTCACTCGATTTCTCATGTGGCGATTTCCTTATTTTGTTGTAATTCAAAAACGAATTACTGTAGATACATGAAAATTTCACTGAATGTTTATATTAGCATTTCCTATACACCATACAATTTTGAAAATATTTTGACTCTTTTTGAGCTGTTTACGGACATTTTCAGTTTTCAATTTTTTTAGTTTTTTTTTTCTATAAATATTAATAAAATTTTATCTGTTGGGCCAAAAAGTGTGAAAAATTAATACAAGGCTCCTGATATATTGTTACAATAGCAATTGAAAAATATTAAAAATACATAGTTGAATTTTTAGTATACAAAAAGAAAATTAATTTATTTCCATCTATTCTGAATCCTAATCAAGAAATGTATTTTACATTGCATGTAAATTTCCTTGTTATTGTTTTATAGGATGTAATGGAATTTTGGATGGATAGAGGCGTGACTGGCTTCCGAATTGATGCCTTTAAATATTTATACGAAAATATCTCACTACCAGATGAGCCTTTTAAGCCAGGAAGGAGCAATGCATCCGAATACACAGAAATGTATCATATATATACGACTGATCAACCAGAAGTTATTGATTCTGCATTAGAATGGAGAGCGTTTATGGATGATTACACAAAAAGGAAGAATAAAACAATTTCTAGGTAAATCTTATTATGCATGCTCGTACCTACTAATATATACCTAATACATATACCTACATTTTATTTTTATACAATTTAAATAATCAGGGGAGCCAGCGATGACGAACGGTGTTTGACCTCGGCACACATTATAGTGACTGCTGTGGCCAACGTACGTGGTACACCAATCTCCAAATCTAATTAACTTTTATATTGTTGTTCATGTTTTGTTATAAGTATTTAGTATTATGATATTCAATTACATAGATATGAAAATTAAAAATAATAATTTTATATTATGTTGGACAGTTTAATGTCAACAGAATCGTATTCACCCGTAAATGTATTAATGCAATATTACGGCAACTTTATGAATTCTGGAGCTCATATCCCATTTAACATGGGATTAGTGATTATTAAAAAAGATGATCATATAGTCGAATCTATAGACACCGCAATCAAAGATTGGTTGTATAATTTGCCAGAAAACGCGGTGCCCAACTGGGTGGTGAGTGTTTTTTAATTATTTAATAATAGTATAAAGAACTGTTTAAAGCCTATGATATCCTTCTCAAGAATGACTTTTTCTCGTTATTATATAATATTAATATGAAGTATTTACTTAACAATTATTTCATCATTTAGATGGAAAATCATGACAATCCAAGGGCGTCGACGAAATTTGGCGCTCTAACAGTACCAATGTTTACTGCGTTGAAATTAGCTCTTCCTGGTATTGATGTAACATATTTTGGTAGTGAAATTTGAATGGAAGACAACATGTATTTGAGACCGGAACAGATAATAGATGTCAATATTGCAGGTGGTCCAATAGCGGGGAGAGCTAGAGATTACCAAAGGTGTCCGATGCAATGGGACAATTCGATTAACGCAGGTATATATGAGCGATCTTATAATAATATATAAAAATTATTTATCTTTACATCACAATTACTTAACATATGCAATTCTACAAACTTATGTGTCGAACAAATCTAGAATAATATATCCTAGAACTGTTTTGTTCCTAGAAAATGTTTAGTTGATATTTATGTAAACATTTTCAACAATCAGTCAGTTACTGAATAATTAAAATCCCTAAATTAAATTGCAAAAGATTAAAAATGATATTATGCTACTCAAAATCTTAAATTTATGAAAGTATATTAATAATTATTTGATTTGTAACAATTGATGATCTATTCTTTAATAATTTCTTTCATCCATATTATATAGAAACGTAGGTTAACAAATATTAAAAAATGAACAAAAATTATATGATAAATATTATGCAAAAAGTAATTGATATATTTATTGAAACTACGTATCAATTAGTTTCAATATTGATTCAAGTTCCTATTTAACCTACTATAACTATGTTAATTATTTAGGTATATAATTAATGTTAATTCAAGTAGCTATGATATAATATAATGTTTAGTTTAAAATCAAGGTATTTCATTTTAAAGGTTTCACCGAAGAGAAAAAGTCATGGTTACCAGTAAATCCAAATTATTACAAGTTGAATGTCGAAACACAGAAAAAAAATCCAACCAGTAACTATAATTTTTACAAAAAAATGTCTCAACTTCGAAAAACTGGTACTTTAAAAAACGGCGATCTTCAGACTTATAATATTACCAAATCGATTTACATTTTAAAGAGGTAACCAACATTTATTAACGATAGCTACTTAGAAAAATAATGCAATATGCTTTTTTCTTATACATTTTTGTATTACTAAACGGTTTATCTTTCTCAGGTCACTATTAGAACACGAATCATACATAGTCGTAACGAACTTTGGCAGTGAAACTGAAACGATCATCTTGTCTAATGTCATACGAGATATCAAAGATGAACTATTCGTATATTTAGGAAGTGAAAATTCTGAGTACAGCCCCGGGTATTTAGATTTTTTAACTTAAAATATGTATGACGCCTTGGCAGTTTTATATTTTACTAATTATTTTTTTTTGTGTATTTGTTTTTAGAAATAAAGTGTCTACCATTTCAACTGGGTATCCATTACAACTGCGACCACAGTCAGTAGTCGTATTAACCGATAAATATATTGAACCTGAATCTCCAAGTAATGGAGCTAGTGGTTGTATAGAATTGAGTTCGAAATGTATTAGTTTCATCTGTGTTTTTGTACTTTCAAGATGGTTTTTATAAATTTCTCTTATTTACCTACCTACCTAGTTGTTAAGTAATAAAGTGTATTGTAATATAAGTTTTTTAAAGAACTTTGTTTGAATTGTATTTTTTTTTAAAACCAAGGTTATTTAATTCCTCATTTCGTTTTTTTTGATTCAATACAATTCAATAAAATGTTCAAGCCTTTTTTTCCTCGTTTTGGCCGGGAAAAGGCAATTCCACCGAATACAAGGATTTAGAACAGGGTTGGCCAACCTTTTTTTATATTGTGCCAAATAATGTATACAAATTTGAGAATGTGCATTAAAAAATATTTATTTCTTTACAGTTTACAAAGTTTACATAAATATAAATTTTAGATTTTTTTCATAGGTACTATTTTTATTACAGTTCAATTGCAATGTTTTTTTTTTAATGATTAGGTATGTTGAATTTGCTTCATGGATATTACCTATCTTTTCATAATTTGGTTTAAGTTTAGTTGAGGATAGAAGCATCAAATTTTTCAAATGAGAATTTGTTAGTTTGGTTCTATACTTATTTTTAATGAAAGTCATCCGCGAAAAACTTTTCTCACACATATATGTAGAGCCAAATCTGCAAACCAATTTCAACGCTACATTATGTAATTCTGGAAAATCTTCCTCAGGTAGGCATTTCCAAAATTCTATTATCTCAGATGCCTCTTTATATTTGCATTTTAAAACTGTTGAACTTTGAAGTTCAATAATTTCCAATTGCATATTATTGTTATATTTTTTTTAGATCGTGTGTCTCTATGATAAATGGATTAATAAATAAGTTAATTTAACCTGAAGTTCCTGGTTTATTAGATGCCATTTCACGATCACACACACACAACGACACAAACTACTTGTTAACGCACGGGCACGGCGATTCTAATACGACTAACTTTATTGTAGTAATCTAGTACACACGTACCGTAACAATTCTCTTATTGGAATAATAATCGGAAAATTCCACTGCGATAATATAATTTAATTTAATAATACTTATTTTTAAAAATTATATATTATTTTATTTTACTCTAGTGTGCCATTCCATAACAACAAATGTGCCATAAATGGCACGCGTGCCGCAGTTTGGCCATCCATGATTTAGAACATAGGTATATACACTAGAAATCAACCAGAAAATATTATTATTGTATAAGAATGGATAGTTATACAAAAAGCAAGAATAAATCAATTTCAAGGTAAATTGTATGCATACACATACGTTGTACCTATGAAAACATTTTATTTCTAAGAGTAAAATAATTTAGAGTGCCAGCGATGATGGACAGTGCTTAACCACATCATACATTAGTCACTGAGATAGTTAGACCAACCTCCAAGCCACACCAAGCTCCATAACCAAACAATTTTTATCCTATTGCTCTTGTTATGTTATTAGTAACATGGTATACAAATATACAATTAAATAAATACGTTTTTTCATCATTTCAACCATCATTTTTTATTATGTTGGATAGTTTAATGGCAACAGAAGTATATTCTAACTACAATATATCAATGCAACATTACGGCAACTCAACGAACCCTGAGTAACTCAAGTACCATTTAACTTAGCATTGGTGAGGTCTCCAAATGATGATCATACTGTTGAATATATAGATAAAATAATCAAAAATTGGTTGGCTGATTTACCAGAAAACGCCGTGGCCAACCGGGCGGTACGTGTTTTTAAATATTATAATAATATTATATAGGTACTGTTTAAAGCTTATGACATCTTTTTCTAAAAAATCTTTCTTATATCATTTTATTAAAAACCTGTTCGATGCTGAGTTAACTAACATGTGCTCCAAGTCTCCCCCCCACCACTTTAGAATTTCGAAACATAATTAACTACATTCGTTTGTGCTTGTTTACGCTTTTAATCCGGTCGTTTGCTCTCAACTCCTCCCAAAGTTATTCAACTTTTAAAGCAGGAGGCTGGGGACATGCTTACCCTCCCACATTGGAATTTCGAAACAAAACTATCTCCATTTGTGTGTTCTAAATTTGTGCTGGTTTGTGCTTTTAACACCGTCATTAAGGCTCAACCTCTTCCAAAGTTATCCAACTTTGAAAGGTGGGGGCTGAAATATAATCCAAGCTATTACCCTTTGTAAAAAGAAATTGTTCACATAATCATTTTTACCCCTATGGTCTTTAGTTGTAAAACATTTGGTTTTCCAGAAAAACCCATACACTTGTGGATAAAGAAAATTATTTTATTTTTTTTTAGTTTGTGCTGTTTTAGGAAATAAAATAAAAATTTGCTACTCAACAAATAGACTTACAGCCTAACATTAAAGATATAATTGAGATACAGGTGGTACTTTAAAATATACTGTTCAGTATTCGAGGATAAACTGGACTGGATTAGGGTAAAAGATACAAAATAAATCAAGCTCGAGATTTTCGTTTGCCTTGTTTTTACGGACTACTATTCAAAATAAGAAGCAACAAAAATAAATCATTGGTGGCACAAATGAGTGCTGCCCAGTGGGGAATAATTAATAAAAATACACAATAGTTTAGAATGATAAATAAATAATAACAAAACCGTGCTGTTGAAGACGGCGGTGGTATTGCACTGACGTTCACAGGCGACGACGGTGACTGTGACCGGCCATGGGTGCCAGCTGGGACGTTGTTTGTCTATGGTGACGATGACGACAAACGGAAGTACAACGGTAAAAAACAACCAACGAAAAAATAAAAACTTAAAAAATAACAATAAGACGGTAAAAAACGCCCCCGAAGTCTCGACGCACGAGCACACAGCTAGTTAGTCGGGTATTTACTGGGCCGTGATTACGCGGTATAGGTGTCGGTCTTATCACTTATCAGACCTAATCAAACATATACATTATACATTCCATGTATTTTGGAAAATGAAACTGATGTGGTTTAGAAAATAGTTTTTATTATAAGTAGGTTAAATTTTAAAGAGGTAACCAAAATTAATTACTTAGAAAAATGTAATGCGAGGAATCTTGCATCCAATTTTAATGACTTTTTACCTAAAGAATTTTATTTGCATTTTAGGAAATTGGTTTTAAAACGATGTGTGTTTTTTTTTTTTTTTAAATTTAGATTCTGAGTGGAACGATGAATGTATTGATTTTACAATGATGTGTGTTTTAGATTCTGGATGAAACGATGAATGTATATTGATTTTACAATGATGTGTGTTTTTTTTAAATTTTTAAATTTTTTTTTTGGTGTCTGTCATCACCTTTTAGGGCAGGAAAAGTGCTTTTGTTTTCTTCAACAGCATCTTTTCTGAAGGGAAAGTGAATCTAGTTAGTACTTTGGGTCTTGAGGGGCCCAAAGTACAAATTTCCCAGTAGTTTTCAAAAGAAAAATTAAGGAAAAACGGTAATTTTTACGCAAAATCTGTTTTCGAGAACATCGATTTTGGTTTTTGGTGCAGCTCTTAAACAAATTACCGTAGGTCCATGAAATTTTGACTGAATGTTTATATTAGCATTTTCTACACATCATAACATTTTCCATTCATTTTGAGCTCTTTACGGACATTTTCATTTCCCAATTTTATTAGTTTTTTTTTTTCTATTAAAATCAAAAAAAATTTTATTTGTTTTGTACAAAAGCTTAAAAATGTAATAGAAGACTCCTAGTATATTATTATTTCAAGGCAGATGAAAAAAATTAAAAATCCATAGTCACAATTTTTTTTTATAAGCATATAAGTTCAAATATTGACAAAATACGTAAAAATTACGAAAATTTGTAAAATTATTTTGAGTAAAAATTAATAAAAAATTTCCTTTTTAAATCTAAGATTTTAAAATGTAATACAAGATTCCTGATAAGTATATCTACCTTTTAGCGTTTGAATATCATATTTTTACGATATTGGATATTCACTCGATTTCTCATAAAGCGATTTTGTTATTTTATTGTAATTCAAAAAAGAATAATTGTAGATACATGAAATATATATATATATATGTATATATAAAACAGTAAGCTGATTGACTGCTATCAACGCACAGCTCAAACCATTGGACGGATCTGGCTGAAATTTGGCATACGGATAGCTATTATAATATAGACGTGCGCTAAGAAAGGATTTGCCGAAATTCGCATTTTAAATAGGTGCTGAAACAGGGACATTGAGATTCACGATAGAAATTGGAAATTTTATTTTTATTTATTTATAGTTGCCATTGGTTACAGTCTACATTAGAAATTAGCATTTATTTATTGGTTGCCATTGGTTATTCGGGCAGATCAGGTACAAGCTTGCATCAAATCGAATTATTGAACAATGCTTACCAGGGTGGCAGAGTTGCACTTACCGCAGAAAATTACACCCAAAAGGAGTTCAACAATCATAATTTTTTTAAGAGTTGCGATTTTTTACGAGCAACCAAATTTATTATATTAATCCACAGTATTACATCAAAATAAACTTGGTATAACTTTGATACTTTAGAGTTAAATCATACACTTCCGTACAAACAGCACGGGGTCCGCGATCTACCGCAGGTAGATTGCCTACCTGATAATGTACTGCTGCGATTCAGAATTTTTATTCTGGGCAACGGGAAAGATAAGATAAATTTTGAACACCATACACGTTAATGAATTGAACAAAGTTTGAGTAGGTAGTATTGAGTTGATCCATTTAACGGGCGACGAAGTGCACGGGATCAGCTAGTATATAATAAAACAACATTACCATGACAATATTTATTTATTTACGGACATGTACGCTTTCGCGTTCGTACGGTCGCCCGTTCGTACGTGCGGTTCGTACGCGCCGCCCGTTCGCTTTTTTTTCCTCACTACCGTGCGTAAAGAAGTATAACTTCAAAAAAAAATATATAACCTACTGTACAGCAGAACACCTCTTTTTATTATTTTTTTCTATGAATGTCTATAATATTGTATTCGTTGGGTAAGAGAGATGGACTTATTAAACAAGGCTCCTAATATATTGTTATAATAATATTTTAAAAATATGAAAAATCCAGT